GGTGGCTGGGTATCCGAGGATCCCAGTGTCTGAGTGTGAGAGAATCAGAGAGGTTAAGAGACTGCAAGGATGCCCCACGGACAGGGAGAGAAGTGGAGAATGGAGGGGAGGGCGCATAAAGCAGGACAGCTCCCCACAACAAAAAAGTACCCAGCTCAAAATGTCACCACGGCATGGCTGAGAGCGCCTGGGGCAGAGAGACAGCAGAGGCAGCGGCATGGGAGGAAGCAGAGGCTAGTCCAGCGCCAGCGGGAACTCGGGCTGCGAAGCTGGAGTGGGGGCCACAGTCACTACCTGTGCAGGGGAAGGAACAGCATCCCATCCAGAGGATACAGGGAGCCCCGAAGGTCCCTGAGCAAAGAAGTCATACGCCACTTTGAGTTTGGAGCCTTTACGAGCACTCTGAAGCATGACTCTCTAAGGCTCATGGACGCCTCCCCTTACAGCAGTGAGGCCCTGGCTGAGAGCTCCTGCCGAGCAGGCGCACAAAGTGGGCGGCCCGCCCTGAGACCGAGCTACCGGGCGGCTCGCAGCTCGCCCGCCTCCCTGCTACTAAAACAGAGGAAACCGCAGAACACCTTAATTTCCTTCTCTTCATTCCTAGTGTCTATTTAGAGGTGCTGAGGAACAAAGAAATGGCAGGAAGCGTGAGGCAGGAAAAGAAAAAAGGTCTGAGTTAATATATGCAACTCAATACCTCCTGAAAGACGACTGCTCAATTTGGGGATTTGGGGATATGCAGGAGGGCTCAGACGTGGGCCACCAGGCGTCTCCCACCCGGGAACAACTCCCCAGGAAGGAGACGGTGAAGCTCCCGCTCCTGCCCCTGAAGTTCGTTTGGCTCACTTCAGTTCTCAGTGACTCCCTACAGTGCCGGTAATTTGTAAAAGCCTGAATATAACCAAGGCAACCTGTTTCTAAGAAGAAAATATTAACTTGATTCAGGTTGCCTTCTCTGTTCCTATCCCTGAAAATAAATCAGACACCAAGCAAGGTCACCAAGGCAATCACACCCCCAATAAATCAGCTCCTTCCTGACAGCCAGAGAGTTTCATCCACTGGCAGGCATTCTGCTCAGAATGCTAATGTGGACAGTGTCACTAGTTCCTTTTCCAGTGTACCCAGTGCAGCTCTAGTGACACCAGAGAGCTCATATGGTTTCAATGGTGCCCTTTCTCCACCCAGGGAAAGCCCATTTACCAGACTGTGTCAGTAAACATGAGTCAGAGAGGGGAACCAGCCCTCCACACCACGTGTCCGGGTCAGGCCAGATAAGACTCACAATGGGAAGAACCTCCCGCCTCAGGAAGAGACAGGCGTCTCTCCTGGTCCTTTCTATCAGCTTGGGTAAGTATCCCCTCTTCCCAGATCAGGTTTTGAGGGCTAGAGCCCCTTTGACAGACTGCACAGCATATAAGAAATGCTACCACGGTGCAAGGAAATTAATTGGTATCATCTATTAATAGATAATGCATTCAGTGAAAATGAGATAAAGGGTAAATGAAGCAATACCATTAAGTGAATTTTCACAGAGAGCTACATTTTATTCTCCTTCTCTTTGAAAAAACACTTTAAGAGATGTACCTTAGCAGACAGAAGTTTCCATCAGGCAAAGGTGAGAACTTCCCATCCTGTTACCAGCTCTAATAAGCTCTCCCTCCATCTCAAGCAGCATGTTTATCAAGTACACTTTTAATACGTGCAGTTGGGCTCATGGTGCCCTAAACAAGTAAAGATTTTGTTTTACCTCTTTTGGTAACTATGTTTTTATCTGGCTGGGAAGCGAGTTATCTTTTCCTCATGTTTGCAGGGGTTGAGGCCACAAGCAATAGCATGCCTTGTGACCACTGGTGAGAATTGGGCAGGCTCTGCCAGTGGGTCATGTGGGCTGTAAATGTGTGCTTTTCATATCAGAAGGCACAGCGATGATCAGATGCAATACTTTGATAGACTTTTTGGTGGAGAGGGTGAGGAAGGGTGGACATCCCTGGGTTAAGCCCAGGTACTAATAGTTATGAAACAAGCAAAGGTGATGCTACTACAACAGATGGTATCTGCAGTTTGTGAAAGACGTGTTTAGGAATAAATGTGTGTAAGTATGAGAGAAGTTGTAGGATGCTCACAAAAAGCATTTCCTATTACTCTGTCCCGGGTGCCCTGTTCTTATCAGAGAACAGAGGATAACATCAGAGACACAACTGCAGCTTAGTAAACAGGTCTCTTCATCTTTGCCGATAAAGATCACCTATTATTTACAACAGGATTTGAATCAGTTCAAGCTGAATGCATTTAGAAGGGATTTATAAGATAACCTTAAGATATCTTATGGGTTGAAATGGTTTAATTTGTATTTTTTAGAAGAATGGACAGAATTCTTGAAAAAAAAGTCTCCATTATTTTTCTACATCTGCTTAGATAAAAAACCCACAGGTAAAGTTCCTAAGCTTTTATAATCCTGAGATAGTCCTTGTGGAATTTTAAAAGAAAACCCATTAAAAATATAAGTCTGAACTTGTGCAAACAAACACCATTTGCAACAAGAGCTTCCTTTGTTGGCCATTGAGTCTTTGGCTGAAAGAGGCCTACCAATCGGGGACAGGCTGGGCACTCTGTGATGCACCAGCTGTCTTCAGGGTCTGTTCTGCTGTCCACATTTGGACTGTGTGTTCAACAGATGCCCATCAGGTTCCGACTGGGTGCCAGACACTGTCCCAGACACTGGAGAAATGAATGACAAACGCAAACAAAAAGCCCTGCCCGCCGGAGTCTATGCTATAGATTGAGAAGACACAATGAAATAAGTGTATCTTCATTTAGCAAATGCTGTACTTGCTAAACAGAGTGAGAGGGCTTTGGAGAAAAACAGAAGCAGAGCAAGGGCAAAGCGCAGTGCTCAAGAGCTGCACTTTTGAACACACAGCAGGCCTCGACAAGAAGTCAGGCGGCATTTGAGTGAAGACATGAAGGAGGTAAAGTGTATTTGGAGAAATAACTTGAAGGAGGTGACACAGGTACCTGGATGAGGAACATTCTAGGCAGAGAAAACAGCTACTTGACCCAAGCCCTGAGGCTGAACCTTTCTTTGTTGTGTTTATTGAAATTAATGAGTGAGTGAAAAGTATTTGTGATATTAAAGAAATTGTCAGGTGATGTTGAAATGCAAATCAAAACCACAATGAGATACCATCCTCATGCCTGTCAGAAGGCCTGCATCAAGAGGACATGAGATACCAAGCGCTGGTGAGGGTGCGCTGATCAGGGAAGCCTTGTGCACCGCTGGTGCAGCCACTAGGAAAAAAGCACTATGGAGGCTCCTTGAAACCTAAAATAGAGCTGCCATATGATCCAGCAATCCCACTCTGGGATTATATCTGAAGGAAAAGAAACATTATGTTGAAGAGACACCGGCACCCCCATGTTCACTGCAGCATCATTCACAACACCCAAGACATGGAAATAACTTAAGTGGAGTAGTATATAAAATGGAGTATTTTCAGAGGAAATCTGCCAACATGGATGGGCCTGGAGGGCATTATGCTAAGTGAAATAAGCCAGTCACAACATAATAAATACCATATGATTTCATCTTTCTGAAGTGCTCAGAGTAGCAAACACCAGAGATGGAAGGCAGAACAGTGGTTGCCAGAGGAAACAGGTGGAGTTTGTTTTATGAGATGAAAAAAGTTAGATGACAGGTCAGTGTTATGAATGTATTTACGACGACTGAACTGTACAGCTAAAAATAGTTACGAGGGTAAATTTTATGTGAGGTGTACTTTACCACATTTTTTAAAACTGGAAAAAAATGGATAGATGGATGGGGGGAATCAAGCATTTAACCTGCCTGTCTCAACTGCACCAGGTGACTACAGAGATAATGATGGAAGTTCCTTTTATTAATAGAAGATTCAGCTAACTGTCCATGCAGAGGAGGGACAGGTTTATGGTGCCACATTCTGTAACTCCTGTGGACATAATGGACCTGACAATTGCCCTCAGTAGCTGCTGAGACCACGAGGAGGGCTGTTATACTGAACAGTGCCTCAGGAAAATGGGCTACTGATCTACCTTCACAGCACGACAGAGCAAGAGCCTCAGGCATGTGTCTCCTCGTGAGCTGAAACAACAGCCACACCAATGGAGTCTGGTCTGATCATGGCTCCCAACTAATTGCTGCTTTAGAGGAAAGTAGGGGACAGGGTCACCTGTTAGCACCATGGTGGCAGATCAGCAAAAAGTCAGTCTATGAAGTTCTACAACACAGATAATACTTTTCCTCTGAGTGGATGCAGCTTGTTTAGCTTCTGATTTGATAAAACATTTAGGAGATAATTGGGGCATTGTGAGTAGTATATAAATATTTGATGATATTAAGAAATTACTGTTGAATTTTTTAGGTTTAAAAATGATTTTGTGGTTGATAAAAAGTCCTTATCATTTACAGATACAGACTGAAAGTTTACAAATGAAATGATAGGATGGTTGGGATTTTCTTGAAATGATCTGGGGCGGGAGGGACTTGTGGGTGGTCGAATAGATCGGCCATATACTGACCATTGTTGAAGCCAAGTGATGACTAAATGCGTATACCATTCTACTTTGTCTACTTTTGTTTAAAATTTTCCATAATAAAATGTTTTAAAAGCCTTTGAAATTTTTTAATACATAGGCTAAATATTTTTACTATTATTAAATTTATAGTATTTATTAGTCAATAATTTTTAAGTGGAAAGGGAAAGAAACATCTGTCTAAATTACCATGAATTCTTGTTAAGTGGCAAATTCAAATTTTGATGTGGTCCACAAACAACAAAAACAGTAACTAAAGACATATATCCCATATTTTTCTATGTATACAGTATCATTGACTTCTGCATAATCTTAAAACATTTTAGTTTTAACATTCAATTCAAAAGAAAATATTTACTAGAACATAGTAAAGAAAGTCTCAGAATGCTTTGGCCATTCAAAAAAATGGTTTACATTTACGTGCAGCTCACCTGCTGTGAAATCTTCAGTCAGATCAATAAATGCGTGAGAATGCGGAATTCGCATTTTACTTTTGGTGGTCAATGCAGGGTGCCATGATAAATTCCTGGGGGAAAAAAAGATTTTCTTAAGGCAAACATCAAATGAACATTGTTTTAAAACATAAAAAAATCTGTGCATGCAGATATTTTAAAATTTTATTTTTATTGAGCTTTCGCATACCCTAAAATTCACTCTTTTAGAATGCACAATTTAGTGGTTTTTAGTTATGTTCACAGTATGCAACCATTACACTATCTAATTCCAAAACATCATCCTCATTTCAAAAAGAAACCCTGTATCCATCAGTCACACCCCATTTTCCTTTTCCCTTCCCTCCAACCCCTGGAAACCACTAATCTGCTTTCTGTCACTATGGATTTCCCTTCTCTGGGCATTTTATATCAATGGGATCATATCACTTAGAATCACATCACTTAGCATAATGTTTTCGGTTCACCCTTGCTACAGTGTATCAGTGCTTCAGTCCCTTTCATTGTTGCGTAAGGTTCCATTGTATACTTTTTGTTTATCCATTCATCTGCTGATCAACATTTGGCTTGTTTCCATTCTTGGCTATTACAAATAAATCTGCTATAAATATTCAGGCACAAGTATTTAGGTGGACATAATTCCTTTGGGTGTACACCTAGGAGTAGGATTGCTGGGTCACGCGGTAGCGGCATGTTCAATTTTCTGAGCAACTGTCAATCTGTTTTCCAAAGTGGCTTCACCACCTCACATTCTCACTAGCAATGTAGGAGGGTTCCAATATCTCCATTTCTTTGTCAATACTTATTTCTGCCTATTTCTTTTATTATATCTTAGAGGGTAGGTCAGAATCTCATGGTTTTGCTTTGTATTTTCCTAATGGCTAATGATGTTGAACATGTTTTCATGTGCTTATTGGCCATTTATATATCTTCTTTGGAGAAATGTCTACTCAAATTCTTTGCCTGTTTCTAAATTGGGTTATCAACTGCTTTATTTCTGAGTTGTCAGAGTTCTTTATAGACTGAGTACTAGATCTTTACCCCAGTGTATGACTTCCCAGCGCCTGTTCTTTCTTTTGGTGCTTGTTCTTTCGGTGTCATACATGAGAATTCATTTCCAAATCCCAGGTCATGAAGACTTACTGCTATGCTTTCTTCTAAGAGTTTTACAGTTTTAGCTTTTATATTTATATATCTTTTTTTAAGTACAAGAAAAAATGATTGTTTTTTTTTATACTGTAGAGAATGGTTTTCTTCTATGAATATTAATTCCAAAAATTTGAGCCATGCAGAAGAATGAATTTAGACGAGGGGTGGGGAACCATTTGGTCTGGCCCTGCCAAGGCAACTTCAGGCAGGACTCAAAATTCAGTAAACCTAGGGGCTTTATTCGTAACTAATTTTTAAGTTGATAACTTTGTATGGCCTGCGAATGATGTTATCTCCAAATGGCCCTTGGCAGAAAAAAGGTTCCCCATACGATTTTTTTTTTTTTTTTAATCTTCACCCGAGGATATTTTTTTCATTACTTTTCAGAGAGAGTAGAAGGGAGAGAGAGAGAAACATCAATGTGAGAGAGACACATCGATTGGCTGCCTCCTGCACAAACCCCAACCAGGGCCAGGGATCGAGCCTGCAACTGACGTACATGCCCTTGGCCGAATTGACCCGGGGCCCTTCAGTCCACAGGCTGATGCTCTAACCACTGAGCCAAACCTGCTAGGGCCCCACCCCTGATTTAGACACTACCTCATATCATATAACAAAACTCAAAATGGATCCAAGAACTAAAGGTATAAAACTCTTAGAAGAAAAGTGATAAATCTTGATGACCTTAGATTTGGAAATGGATTCTTAGGTATGACACCAAAATGACAAGCAATAAAAGAAAAAATAGATGAACTGGATTCATCAAAATTAAAAATTTTTGTGTATCATAAGAAAGTATCAAGAAAGTGAAAAGAAAGCTCTGCAGAATGGGAAAAAATATTTGTAAATCTTATCTCTCACAAGGGTCTGTATCCAGGCTACATAAAGAACTTTTACAGCTCAACATCAAAAGACAACCAACCTAATTTGAAGATAGCCAAGGACTAGACATTTCTCCTAAGAAGATATACAAATGGCTACGAAGCACAACAAAGGATGCTTAACATCATTAGTCACTGAGGAAATGTACATCAAAACCACAATGAGACTACTTCAAACCACTAGGGTGGTAATAATCATAAGCTAGGAGATAACAAGTGTTGGAGAGGGTGCAAACTCGCTTACTCACTGGTGGGAATAAAAAATGGTGCAGCACCTGGGAAAACAGCTCGGCAGTTCCTCAGGAGTTAAACCAAGAGTTGCCACATGACCCTGCACTTCCACTTAGGTGTATACCCCAAAGAACTAAAGGGTGAGCAAGCTGAAATAAAATCACCCCCAACTCCTCAGCTGCAGGCATGCCCACTTATCAAGGCCCCACTCAATTAGCTTTCTCCAAAAGGTCTTTGCTCTTCTCTCACTCTTTTCCTGCAACACTTCTCTCTGCTAACAATGGCACTTCAGTTTGTGCCGAAGTCACCTGAGGAGCTGTCTCTGAGAGTAAGCTCCTCTAGACACCCTGACTCACAGACATTTGTATCTGTAACGCTTAACCAGGACCTGGCCATGAGACACTGGCTGCAGAGTCAGAGTCCTAAGTAGCACCCCCTAGTCTACTTCTGGTTAGAATTTTCTGTTTTTTTCATGGTACTATGTTCCAGTCCCTTATGGAAGTAGATACATGTCATCTCCGAAGAGCAGCTTAAGGCTAATTAAGTCCAACTTAATTGTCCACACAGTATCCAACTGACTGTGTAGCAAACAAGATTTGTGAATTTAGTTTTGATGTGTTTCCAAAGTGGAGAGAAACAATTCACTAATTTGTGCTTGGCAGGTGGAATCTGGGAAAGAACGAGCATTTGTCAGGACAAGTTTCCTCTACACAAAGGGTCTGTGTGCTACACAGAGCTTCTTCCAAGTAACCTCCTCCTACACTCTAGCACATAGTGGGCCTCATCCGTAACCTAAACACAGTAGGAAAAACAAAACCAAGCAGTATCCGTACAACCTAATTTTACTGTTTATAAGGTTATGATGAATATTAAAGTGAATTGAGAACTGTATTTAGCATTTGTTGTAAGGTAAATTCAATGCCAAGCATTTTCTGACTACAGGATATTAGAAATGCTTAAAATAATTTCAATTAAGTTCAATTTAATAATGGCTGGTTCACTTCTTTTTAAGATAGGCCATGCATTCATCGGTTCTTTAAATTCTAANCATGCTATGTTCTTTCTGACTACAGGATATTAGAAATGCTTAAAATAATTTCAATTAAGTTCAATTTAATAATGGCTGGTTCACTTCTTTTTAAGATAGGCCATGCATTCATCGGTTCTTTAAATTCTAAGCACTCATGTATTTTTAATTGCTAACAAAATAATCAGACTCAGGTGAGAGATTCTATGACAAGTTAACCCAAAGTCATTTCAAAAGAGCTTTCTGGTGTTAATAAGTTTGTAATTATAGGGCCAACAGTGAGTTAAACACAGGCTTTCACAAAGTTCAGCTTAATGAGGTTAATCAGGGGGCTATGTTTAATTACTACTAGTGCAGTTATTGATCACATTCCCTATAGAATTTTTTACATGTTTGCTTTAAAATAAGTTATAACTCAAATTTTGGAAAAACCTCAAATAACTGGTGATATTTGTCCTAAAAACTATTTGACAAAAATGTGCATTTCAAAAGAAGAATCTAGAACAGTGATAAAGCCAAAGCCATAAAGAGATGATGGGCCAAATTCAGCAGAAGCATGTGTTTTATTTGACCTGTTGTTGTTTTAAAAGTTTTGAATTCATTGGTAAAACTCAAGTAAAAAGTCAGATTTCACATAAAAATCTGGATTTTCAGCTTCTCTGGAAACATCAGAAGGTCTGGCAACCTACTGGTGAGTCCTGCAGGCAGCTAAGTCCCAATCACCCCGATGGCTTCCCTCTCTGTGACTTCCTTCTGGGGCCTGCAGACACTTGAGTTTCCAACTCCTAACAAAATGTTAATTGTAATTTTGCTTTCTTGAGCATTTCAAATCAATACTGAAGTTCATCACATTATTTAAATATTTATACTTGTTGCCTGTACTCTACTATCTTACACGAACACCCCTTAAAGGCAGTTAGCTGATTCTTATACTTTATGCACAGGGCTTCTTTACCATTCTGATGTGTACCAAAGGTGTGCATTTTAAGATGGTTGAAAATTGAATATATATTTACAGTTGTCTATTGGAATTAAATTGTTTAAAATTTTAGAGTTCAAAATAAAATTCATTTTTCCTTCTACCTTTAATGTTGCTCTTTGTACACATCAGTTTTTCAATAATGAGAAGCAGACACCATATTTTGCAAGCAACTATGCTCATATAAACTATAATCTTCTCATACGTGCTCAACTCCATTTGAAGGCCAAGGTCACAGGTACAAACTATTCTGATTACAATGGAAGAAACAGCAGAGATGAAAGAGTGGGCCGTTCTGGGCCATGTTGAGTGCATTCACTGACATTTCTTGACCTCTTAGAAAATTCCAATTATTAGCTTTTCCCCCCACGGGAAACATAATTATGTCAAGGTATACTAATTTGTGGGCATCATTGCTCTTAATCTCAAAGAACAGCCTTTATCAAAGAATCAATTTAAATGTGATTAATGTCAACTGTAGCTCTTGGTTGCCCGTGGCACCTGCTCTTTGAAATGACTAAGCCACCCACTTTTCAATGACCAGCCTATGTTGATTGTCATAGTGAAGCTGTGGCTAGGAGACAGGCCTAGTGTAACGCTGGGCCTAGCGTAACGCTGGGCCTAGCCTAGTGATGGGCTAGCGTAGCCATGGGCCTAGCGTAGCGATGAGCCTAGCTTAACCATGGGCCTAGTGTAATGATGGGTCTAGCAGGCTTCTCCAACCTGCCTTGTTCTTTTTCTCTTTTTTTTAACTTAACAGAAACTTTATTTTTATTGTTAACACTATTACAGATGTCCTCCATTTTC